GTAGGGGAGGGGGGAGGGGGGACGCCTGGCAGGTGGGGCGCGAAAGCGATGAGTCCTCGGCTCTTCCTCCTCCTCCTCCGGGACCCGCTCTCTGCCTCCCGCTCCAACGCCCGGATGATCTGAGCCGCGAGGGCGCCGAGAGCCGGGGGCCCGGACGCAGCCCGGCTCCACCCCTCCTCCTCCGCCCCCTCCCCGGCCGGTCGCCGCCGCGGTGACCCCCCCACTTCGTCACCTCCCCGGCCGCTGTCGCCGCTGCCTCGGCCGACCAGGGACCTGCCTGCCCGCGGCTCCTCCGGGTAAGCGCGGCGCTCGGGCCGAGGGCGGGCGGGCGGCGCGGGCCTGCGCGGCGGCGGCGACGGACAGGCCTAGGGCCTGTAAACAAGCCGGGCGTCTGCCTGGGCGCTCCCGGGAGGAGACGCGACAACTCCACCCCCTGGTCCGGCCTCCTCCCCGGAGCCGGGCGGCGGGCGGCGAGGGGTTAACGCTCCGCGAGGGCGGCGGCGGGAGGCGGGGGCGGAGTGCTGGCGGCGACCCAGCGAGGAGGGGGCGCGACCCTCCGGCGGTCAGTGCCGGGCGGGTGCTGGTGGCGGCGACGCGGGCGCGGGCGCGGGCCGGCTGGGCCCCGAGCCGCGGCGGAACTTTTCCCGAGTGGGGAGCGAGGAGGGGGCGTCGTGGCGGCCGGCGCCGCCCGGGCTGACCCTGGCCCCGGTCCGGGCGGGGGAGACTGGGAGGGAGAAGCGAGGACGCGTGCTTTGAACCCGACTCAGCCTGGAAACCCCATATTTTAGGGAGAATTTGCTCTGGCTTTACAGGGGGCAGGGCTGAGAGTGAGGCTCCTTCCGAACTCGGCAGTGATGCCTCAGTTCATTCATTATTAAGACATCGAACGGGTCCCTGGAAGTACCTTCTATGATTTCTCATCCCTGTGGCCGAGTTGATTGCGTACAAGTTCTTTATGTTGGAGTTTAACTGAGGCGTGGTTCTGTTCTGCTTGTAGATTTTAAGTAAACTTGGCGTCTTGAAAGACAGCTGACTGTGGAGAACCTTCTACTAACCGCAGTTTTAGGTGCGTTTTGAAAATTTGGTGAAGCACCACATGGTACTTAAAAATCCACAAAGGGCATACTTTACTTGTCCAAGAAATCTGTGTGCCTGCCACCTCTCCCCCAAGTTACCTGATAATTGGAATAATGAACCGAATGTATTTTTTAAAAAGTGCTTAGAAGAGTATGGGAGGCAGGTACTGTTTGACGTTATTGAAATTAGGAATTTAATTGTTTTCCCCCTGAGGAAAAAGGCATAATCTTTTCATACTTGCACGTTGGGATTTTAAACACCACCATTTTTTGTATGCAGAGAGAAGGCTTTGAAGAGTCATGGAGTTTATTTAGGAGTTCCAGCAGGGTTTGCTCCAGAACTCCCTTTAACTAGGAACACTACAAAGAGGCCTTCTCAAAATACTGTATTTCTGTAATTCCTTTTTTTTTTTTTTTTTAACAGATGAGAGAACTGAGACTAAGATGGTAAAGCATCTCTTTTCTAATCTTAGATGTTACTTTTATTAATGTTTCCTTTGCCAATAAATAACTTGAAGTACAAAGTAAGGTTTTCTTCCAAATGTTATAGTCCTGGTTTTTTGTTTTGTTTTACATTGCTGGGGATCGAACCCAGGACCTCACACCTGCTAGGCTAGTACTGTGTCACTGAGCTACATTTGTGAACCTTGTGTATATCTTAAACATTCAATCATGTAAGGATGGTTACTTTTAACCTGGAAGTTTGCAGCCATAACACACTATTGAAATTTTAATGAACTGCATTTGGAAATTAAGACATTTTTAGTTGATAGTAAACATTTTTACATCAGTGAATTATGGGAGTATAAATTAAGACAGATAACATTTAAAGTTGATTATGGCTTGTAATATTTTTAAGCATTCTTCCATGGATTGAACCATTTTATGTTTTAATGTGAAAAGCTGAAGCAATGACCATAATTACAGAATAACCTATTGAAAGAAACACTGCATCGAGAGACAAGAATTGTTTAGTCATGGCTGTGCTCCAAAATATCTGTGTCCACGGGCAAGTCCTTTAACCTTTTGAGTCTCAGCTTCCAAATCAGTAAAGCCAAAAAGGTTGTGTTATCACATGCACTCTCCAGTTATTAAGTTTTTGTCAGCCTTGTGTGATTGAATGAATAAATGAATAAATGCTTGTGATATGTGTCAGGCACTTAGAGGTTTCAGAATACTAAAGATGATTTTTCTTTCTGGGTTCTGTTTTATTTAAAGAATTTAAGTTGGTGCTTGTTCTTTAGCAAAGCTGTATGTAGCTCTTACTGGTTTTTCTGCTGGAATTGGGAAGTCTGCAAAAACCTGGGTGAAAGAGAAGATGGAGATTCTAAGGGAGACAAAGTGTGGTTGAGACTCCAGTTTTGAACAAGCCCACGAGCCTTGATAGTTGGGAGAAGGAAATTTAAGTATGCATTTTGAAGGTTTTTCTGTCAGTTCAAGCTGGGTCTTGACGATTTTGTCTTGCTAAAATTTCTGCTTGAAAATTGGTACCTAATATCTCATTTTTTCCCCATAATAATCCTATAGCAGCATCATTTTGTCACATAGTAAATATTCCTGAGCAGTTACTAAGTACCTGTAGTCTGAATTTGATCAGATTACACCTACACTATTTGTTATGATTTTATTTATTCTCTTTGCTAGTAGAATGAATGCATAGCCGATTCTGGTTTAACTATGATTGCTTATTTTATAATTTAAACTAAAGATGGACATGTATCAATTCACAGGGAGCTTGCTATCTCAGCAGTGCTCATCTATGAAAGGTGATGTAAGAATAATTAATTATAAGATGATATTTTGATGTTCACTTAAATGGTTATTGCCTGGGTACAGGACTCTGAGTGGTACTCGTGAATACTTTCTATCCTTAATCAAATAGAAAGAACCTTTTAAGAAAATCAGCCCTAACAAAATTTTGTAAGAGTTATGCAAGAAGAAAAAACAAGGCAAAACAAGTCTTGACCCTGGGAACTATATGGACCTTGGGGAGGGGAGAAGGTAATAAGAGGCAACTAGGTAAAAGCTGCTTTTTTATGCTTGGTCACAATATGTCCTGTCTTCCTTCTCAGATAACAAAAATATTTTAAAATTGACTTACTTCATTTATTATTTTGCTGATGTTAGCCAAGATATATACATTTTCTGGTCTGTGATTATATGAAAGTAGCTTGGGTTACCCTATATTAAAATCAAAAGGTTGATTATAGTTTTTCTTCCTTCACTCTTTCCAGTGCCTAATGTGTTTTCCTATTATATAACAAACAACTTATACTTGCTTCATTATGAGTCTCCAAAACACATTCTTTGATGATTTTGACTTTTACATGTCCTAGCTACATAATTACTACCTAGATAATCACTTAACCTAGCTTTTCTTTTGCTGAGGCAGGTAGGAGGAGCTAGAGAAAGTAAAGGATCTCAAGGGAGGGGAGTTCTATAAACCTTCATCTAAAATGTAATGGACTTCACAATTTTTGTAAGAAACTGAAAAGTACAAATTAATGCATATAAACTGTTGATACTGTGTTTATAATAGAGGTGTTTCAAGTATTCTTTGAGTAAATGTGTAATAAAAGAGGGAGTTTTCATAATCCTTAGTGTATTTTTTTTGGAATCCATTGACCCAAATGTATGTAATATTCACATGTAGGACCTAAATTGAAATTCATTAGATTTTTGTGTGTGTGTGTGGCAGATATGATTGGAAAGTCCTATAAAACTTGAGTAGTCCTAGAAAAAGTAAATAATAAAAATCCTGGTTTATTGGCTGTTTATTTGTGTCAGGCTTTAATTTTTTATCACAGTTCTCTAAAATATATATTGTTACCTTCATTTTACAAATAAACACATAGCAGTCCTTTATCTCTATGGGTTCTCCATCCATGGAGTCAACAAAACTGTACCAAAAATTTTTTTTTAAAACTTTGCATCTGTGCTAAACATGTAGACTTTTCTTGTCATTTCCTAAACTATATAGTATAACTACTACATAGTATTGCCATTATATTAGGTGTTACAAATAATCTAGAGATGACTTAAATTACACAGAAGGGTAAATACAGGATCATGCAACTACGACATCATTTTATATGAAGAACTTGGGAATCCACAGATTTTTGGTACCTATCGGGAGTCCTGGAACCAATCCCTGTGAAGACCAACGGATGACTGTGTAGGTACAGAGAACCTAAGTAGCATACCAGGATTGGATCTAAAGGTATATATATTTTAATATTTCTGAATGGATTTTCCCCAATTATGTGGGACTTCTTGCTCCCAAGAATCAACATTTTAAAGGCTGAATAGTTAACCCTACTGATTTACAGATTTCTAGAATTTAAAATGAGTATAGGTATATATAGTTAAGTCTTCCAGTGCAAAATCCCTTCTAAAACATTGAGAAATTAAGTTCATTTTCTCATTTCCAAAGATTCAGAAATTTGCAAAGTCAAAAATTTTGTTTTAACAACCACTGTTCAGATTGAAGAATGGAATTAAGATTAATTCTCAAATGGTTGATGTCCTAACTGAAGTACCTGGGCAGTTGTTTCTGAGTAGACACAATCAGTACAACCACATCAACGCAGCCCCCATGATTTAGGTGGTAAAACTACTCTCAAAAGTCAGAATTGAGTCAGGATTGTTCTACTTCCTAGTGCGTATCCTTGGGCAAGCTATTTGATTTCGCTAAGCCTTAGTTTTCTTTATCTGTTATGTAGAAATTACTTTCTCTTAAATGTATCTTGAAGATTCAGTGACATAATTACATTGACATTTTCTACCATGAAGAAAGTACCAAGTAAATAGTGGCTGCTATTATTGAGTATGTGAAATCTTGAGATGCTTGGAGGAATAGAGACCTTGAGAAAGTGCCTCTGAATGTAGTTTCAGCAGTAATCCTTGAAGCCAAACTAGGAGACACTGAGTAGAAAAACAGGTTGTAAAGACTATAGGTGTGTAGAGTTTACGTATGACTTGTCTAAAAGTTAAGAGGTAATAGAAGAAAGAGAATGTTGAGCGTGAATAGATTTCTTTGGCTGTCTGAAGTTGGAAGGAAGTTAGGGGTTTGGAGTTAATGATTAGGTGGCAGTACATGGTTAAATTGTGGATAAAGGGTAATAGTAATAAAGCAAAGGTGAATGTTCAGACTAAGATGATCAGTAAGTAGGGAAGAATAAGGGCTGGTAATGTTTTTGTTTGTAGTATTGGGTCTTGACCTCAGAGCCTTATGCATGCTAGGCAGGCACTACCACTTGATCCAGAATCTTTAGAACTATTTGCCTGGGGCTAGATTTGAACCATGATCCTCCTGATCTCTGCCTCCTAAGTAGCTAGGATTACAGACATGAGCCACCAGCACCTGGCTGAGGGTTGGTATTTTATCAAGAGGAGTTACATTTCATGGTTAGAAAGGAGCAAGAAGGTATTACTACAGGAAATGATACGAGAGAGTAAGGAAATGAATTATTCTGATAGCCTCAGTTCTTGGTTTTTGTTTGTTTGTTTCTTGTAGCACTGAGGCTTGAATTCAGGGCTTCACACTTGCTAGGCAAGCCCTCTCCTGCTTGAGCTGATAGACTCAGTTCTGTTTTTCTTTATTTAAATAAAAAAATGAGTGTTCATAAAAGGCATTAAGATTTTATAGGTGGGTTTCTGCGTTATTTAAGGTTGAAAAATTATCTTGGAACAGTTCAAGTCTTCTTACGACAAACCCAAACCAAGATACCAGCACTCCCAACTGATCCGTACCATTAGCATCCTGTACTGCACCCCCAACTTCCCTATAAATCACAATATTCTTCCAAAAATACTGTTGTTGTTTTTTTAAAATACTCTTTCTCTCTATGTGTACTCAGTGACACCCTTTTGCCTCTAGAGTAAAATTCAGATTTCTTGGTTTTGCTTTTGATGCTTTCTATGATTAGATCTCAGGCAAGATCTATCTCAACCAAACTGGTAAATTGCTGTCTCTGGAACATACCTTTATTTTTCTCTCTGTGAGCTTTATTCATGCTAATTTGAAACCTGGAAATCTTTCTTTTCCATCTCCAGTTTTTGGTTTTTTAATCAATGTTTATATCTAATATTTCCTCCTCCAAAAAGTCTTCCCTGAAAAATATTTAGATTTGTATGACTTTAGTCATGTATTTTATTTCTAGATATTTGTGTCTTAATTGTAATTGTGTTCAATTAATCCTGAAAGAAAAAATACAATAACTTTTACCCACAGCCTACCACAGTGCCTTGTGGATGATAGGCATCCAGATATTTGGTAAGTATTAAGCAAAATATTCCTAGCAGTGGGAATCACTACTGTAGGAGGAGGTGGTAGAAGTAGTTAGGAGCTTTCTTTATCAGACATTTTTTACTTTCTCTATGTTTTTGCTTACCCTCGATATTAAGATACTTAATAGAAATAGAAGATTAGGTTGACTGGTTCTGAA